TGTTTTTAATATTTTGGAGTTTTTTTAGAGACAGAGTCTCTCTTTGTCACCCTGAGCAGAGAACACTGGCACTATCATAGCTCAGTGCAATCTCAAACTCCTGGGCTTAAGCAGTCTTCTTCCTCAGCCTCTCGAGTAGCTGAGACTACAAGCATGCACCACACTATGCAGCTGATTTTTCTATTTTTAGTAAAGACCATGGCCTTGCTCTTGCTCAGGCTGGTCTTAAATTCCTGACCTCAAGCAATCCTCCCACCTCCTGGGGTACCAGGATTACAGACATGAGCCATTGCATCCAGCCTCAATAATCTTATTTTAAAATTTTTGGAATTATTTCTTTATGAGAGGACAAAGCTTTATATTTATGTAATACTTAAATTTGATCAAAATTTTACCCAATTTTTCCTTGACTCAGAGTCTTTATCACTTCAAACCAATTGTTTGAAATTAGTTTACAGTTACACTATCCCACATTATTTGTCTCATTCCCTGGTATTCTAAACAGAACCAAAGTTCTTGCACATAACAAAAGCCTGTGTGTGGGTTGTCACAGTGTTTTTGTTCATAATTTTCAAAATTGGGAAACAACACAAATGTTTCTAAAGTGAGGAATGGTAAATGCACTGATTAGTTCTTAGCCATAAAAGGAGTGAAGAGCTGACCCGTGCTACCACATGACTGAGTCTTGAGTGTGTGATGTTAAATGCGGAAGCCAGACAGCAAGGTCTAGATGTTGTGTGACTTCATTCCTATGACCTTCCTTCAAAAGGCAAAACTGTACAGATAATGGTTGTTAAAGGCTGATGTTTGCAGCAGGGATTGATTACCAAGAGGCATGGAAGAATTTAGGGGGTTGACAGAATTCTTCTGCATCTTGATCATGGTAGGGTTACGCAACTGTCAAAATTCAAACAACTATGTTCCCAAAATGCTGAATTTTACTGAACACAAATTGTACCTCATTTTCAAAAGATGGGGGGAAAAAACCCACACAGCTCTAGCAGCAACTACAATAGCGTTTGATGCAGTGAGTATTTTTTGAATGAAGAAGAAGAAAAAGTAGCACACAGTACAACAGATTCAATTTAATACAATTCTGTTTTAACAAAGAATAGTATTTGGCAATTTTGCCATTTTGGTGAACCCTAGGAAGGATGTATCAGTTAATTCCAGGCATCCTTGTGAAATTTTAAGCTTTAATAAATTTACAAGTAAAATGCTGTAGACTTACAATATATACAGTGTATTTTCTGAAGTCCTACGTAAAAGAATCTAGCTAATTATTATTTTAAAAGTTTCTTTCTGGCCAGGATTGCATAGGAAGAGTGAGACAACTTAATATTTAGGATTTTTTCTGCGTTTCTTTGTAGCTAGAATAAATTCTGACTATAGCCTTGAAGAGATAGATGAAAAGGAAGAACTGAGTGAAGTGCCTAAAGATGAGGCTGAAAATATGTCTCTGAAGTCACAAGATATTTCGTCTGTATCTACTGATATAATAAATGCACTGAAAAATGACCCTGACTCAGCCCTTGGCAATGAGAGTGCAAAGTCCTCACAAAACTCCAAGGAAGAAAAACATGAAACTAGATGCACAGATGGACAGTAAGTAGTCAGTGTGCCAGAGGTGTTGGTGGTGGTTTGTTTAATTAATAATCTTCTGAAATATAGATCTAATATTTTAATACAAATACAGAGATTATACCCCATCCTTTTAACCATCATAATAAAAGTATTTATTAATAAAATATCTAATTCCACCTAATTATGTTAAAAAAAATCAAATTCAACAGTTCTACTATCCCTATGCCACATAAACCGTAACATGTAGTTAATTCATATGACTCAATAATTAACGTTTGTGTGTCTGTTTTTGCCTATTACCTATATGAACTAAGTGTCACATTTAATTTTCAATTTTCATCAAACACCCCTGAAGGATTTTTGCTAACTGGTCTATGAAAACAATTCTACACTTGATCTTAGCCAAAAGGCCAAGAAGCTATGCAAACAATTCTGTATATTAAAGTACGATAAATCACCAGTATTTTTTTGCAGTCAACTTTATAATGTGGTCACCTTTCCACTTGAAACTAGGAATGGAAATCTCTAGTGTAGTCTACTTGTGTTATGTTTGAGATACAACAGCATGAATAAAGATGAAATCCACCAAGCAAAATAAACTGTCTTCATGAGATGTTTGCTATAATTTG